CCAGGACGCCCCCGAGGTGCTAGGAGCTGGGGAGGGGTGAGAACCCCCTCGCACTCTGCCCGGCGACAAAACCTGTCCTCAAAATAGCCAGGCCTGCCGGGCTGGGGGTCACTTCCAGTCTGGCCTTATCCGTCTGTTCTGGGACCGCCTACGCCACCTTGGACATTGGCTACTCTGCTCTCAGCCTGGCTTTGCCCGTGGCCCCAGCCATGCAGTCTGAAACCTCCCACATTATCTTCGGTCGGACCGCCAACTGAGCGCCCACCCGAACTCAAACGACACCCTACACCCTTTAGTCCCTTCCACCCCACTTTCGTCCCCGCCCACTCCTTTCTCGATCCTCTCGCCCTGGGCACGCCCCTCTCCTCTCTCTACAGGGAACTCCAACCGAGTGGGAGCCCCAGGTGGTCCGTGTCCAGCTGGCTTCGAAAGGGTTAACGGGTCCTGCGAAGGTGAGCGGGGGCAGTGGTGGGCGGGGCGGCCCTAAGGGCGGGCCGGCGGGAGGTGGTCCCTGACACCACTAGGACCCCTGCGTCCCTCCCCGCAGATGTGGATGAGTGCGCGACTGGCGGGCGCTGCCAGCACGGGGAGTGTGCCAACACTCACGGGGGGTACACGTGCGTGTGCCCGGACGGCTTCCTGCTGGACTCATCCCGCAGCAGCTGCATCTGTGAGCCACCGAGAGGGCCCGAGGCTGGGTCCCACGTCCCGCTGTGCCCTCAGGCCTATCCCAGCACATCCCTGGACCCTTAATTTCCTTAAACACCCCCAGACCCTCCAAGACTCCCAGGTCTCTCATTAGATCAGCCTCGGACTTTCTGGACCTTCTTCGGCCATTTCTAAGAACCCCTTTTGTCTCCAGATCCCCAGCCTTCCTTCAGCTCCTCCCGGCCCCCAAATCCTTCACCTTCCCTCACCAGAACTTCTTCCGACCCCGAGATCCATCCCGGATGGTCTCATTCACCCCGCAGACTCTCCTCAGGCCCCAAACCTTTTCAGGCCTCGAGACCCCTCATTCTGCCTCAGGCCCCCTCAGACCTCTCCTGAAAGTCCCTCGAATCCACCAAACCCTCCCTGGATGCCCCACCTCGCAGATCCCCTGCCCTCCCAAACCCTCTCTGAAATGTTCCTCCCCCTCCCCCAGCCCAACACGTGATCTCAGAGGCCAAGGGGCCCTGCTTCCGCGTGCTCCGCGACGGCGGCTGCTCGCTGCCCATTCTGCGCAACATCACCAAACAGATCTGCTGCTGTAGCCGTGTGGGCAAAGCCTGGGGTCGGGGCTGCCAGCTCTGCCCACCCTTCGGCTCAGGTGAGCGCCTTCTGCCCCGCCTACTCCCCCCCCCACTCTAGGCCCCGCCTCAGACCCCGCCCCCAGGCTTTGAGGCTCACAGCCCTCAAACATGGTTGATCCCTAGTCTTGGCCACTTCCCCAGCCTCGGAGACCGGCTACCCTCAGAATGAACTCTGCCCCAGGCCACAACCATCGTTGGCCGCATCTACCCCTGAGACACACTACCTTCTTCTGAGCATCACCTCCAGCTTTGACCACTCCTAGCTCCTGAGACACTCCACCTGTCCCTCCGTGTCCCCATGCTTTAGCCAAGTCCCCAGGTCCTGAGACACTGCCTTCAACATAGGCTCCTCCTTGGGCCCCGCCCCACACAGGGCCCTCCCTGAGTCACCTCCCTGGAAATCTAGCTTCTGCTTAAAACCAGACCCCACAAGGGACCTGACTGTTTCCTGGCCTTCATCCTAGTCTCTGTAGACCCCAAACCAGACCCCACCACCATCCCAAATAGGGAAAACCATCCTTGGTCCCACACTTGGCCTCTGAGATGTCCCAGCCTTTGGCCAGGGTCCACCCATCCCAGCATCTAATCCAAACCCCTGATACACTCCCAGGCCAACCCTCATCCCCAACCAAGGCTCGCTCTCCCCCCCCCCCCTTTCATGCCCTCTTTTTGTCCCTCTCCCTTCCTTTCCTGTTCCCAGAGGGTTTTCGGGAGATCTGTCCTGCTGGCCCTGGCTACCACTACTCGGCCTCTGACCTCCGCTACAACACCAGACCCCTGAGCCAGGAGCCACCCCGAGTTTCCATCAGCCAGCCCCGTGCCCCACCCTCCACCCCTCGGTCACCCACAGGTAAGCTGGCTTCTGGGGGAGGGTGTGTTGTCTCTAGGGGCTGCCCCAGTCCCATAGGGAAAGGAAATGGGGCACCGAAATCCAGGTCTCCACTCAATGACAGCCTTTCCTTACCAGGCTTTCTGCCCACCCATCGCCCAGAACCCCGGCCTGAGCCTCGGCCCGGGCCTGAGCTTCCCCCACCCAGCATCCCGGCCTGGACTGGTCCTGAGGTTCCTGAACCAGGTTTGGTAGAGGGAATCCAGGGCATTGATGGGGTATTACAGATGGGGGTCTTAGAAGGAGGTTTCAAGGATAGAACAAGCGGGGATGCCACAGCCAGAGGAACTAAGGAGGGTAAAAAGAGATAAAGGTATGGAGGGTTGGGTGGCGGTTATGTCAAGAGCTGGAGTCGGACAGCCTGGCTTAAAGTTCTTTGTTAATTGGGCAAATCAGTTTCCTCATTTGTAAAATGGGTATCATTGTGAGGATTCAGTGAGCGATCTCTGAAGTGTCCGGCACAGAGTAAGTGCTCAGTTAATGTTAGGCAAATCAGTATTTTCAT